AGACAAAGGTTTACATATAGACCTAAAAAGCTACAACAACCCTACCAACTTATTAGGCCACGAATCTAGGGATCTATTTTTTTTCCATGAAATTCAGTCTCTTTTGAGATTCTCTTTGGCCTACACAGCAAGTAAAGTCAGTTTGGCACTGCTCCTGGAGAGAGGCTATCTGGGCATGAGTTGCCTCGGTCTTAGACAAAAAGCCTCTTTCCCTCTCTTCAATTTGCTTTAAATTCTTCCATGGAATGATAAGGCACAGAGTGCCAACATGAACCTAGGCAGAAAGGGAGAGACGGCTGTTTGGACCAGCTTTGGTTATAAGCCTCCAAATGAGTAACTAAGCAAGACTCCACACGGTTTCGTAAAATGCAGTCCAGATCAGCAAGGATAAGTTTCCACACTGGATTTTGGCCCCAAGTCCAAGCTAGGAATAAAGGGTCTCTTGGCCTGGCATTGTCATCATCTGTATTGTTGATTTCCACTCGGGAGAATGGGGAATTACACAGGAGGTGCCACTGGGAGAAGAGTCAGGAGTTTGCTTGTCATTACTCAGTTTCTCTCTTCATGTACCAGTCACACCAAAGTTACAGAGAAGTGAGATGACATACATCCTGGCTGGCCCTGGACATTCCTGATTATACCCTCTGTCCTAGTGTCCTGTCCAGTTTAGAATTTGACACACCTGAAAATACTGTTTGGATAAATTATATGATCAACCATATGGTACTAAAGCCTTGTCCTTGTGATTTTTAAGCCCAGATGCCTTTTCTGCTTCCCTAGGCTGTTGCCTGTTTGCTTGCTTTTATGCTGTTTTCGGGCCTCTTAAACCAAACCTTAGCCTTACTAACTACAGAACCCATGACACTAAAGTTAGGACAGAGGCATCATCTTTGCTTGTGAGCAGTAAATTACTAAAACAAAGATCAGTAAAAAGATTTAAACATGTACTGGACAGATGCAAATATAAACAGGTAAAATGTTTGCACTGCACTGGCCTCTAAAATCATAACCACATGTCCTAAACTTTTAAATTATTTTTATGATACTGCTTTCCCATACATTTTATGGTGACTTGGCAATACTTGCACATTTTTATAATCGCTAATGTCTTCCTTCCCAAGTTTCTGCCCCACTGCATTGTGTTCCTATAGTTCACTCTCTGAAGTCACATCAAAGATCTTAAAAAGTGTTATTTGCAATTTAGTTAATGTTTTCTTTAAAACTCCTGTGTTTGTTGGGTAATAAGGAAACTTTGATAATGAAAACGGTTAATCTAAGTGCATTTTATTAGGGGCAAGTTAAGGTTGAGCACTCAGCGGGTAAGTGTTTAACACTCCCAGGCATTTCAAAGCTGCTGGCAAGGTCCACTCTGAAGGGAGGCAGAGAGGGAACAACATGTGGGACAAACACAAATTGGAATACAAGGACCAAACACAAGGAACAAAGTTGTTCCCTAAGGAGACCTTTGAGTCTACCATTCTTAGTTCCCATGATTCTATTCTGCCACCATCCAGAGGTTTGAACTTAAACCTCAAGTTTAATGGCATGGAAAAATTTGTGTTCCTTTTTCTTTAATATAATACCTCTATTTTAAGAATTAAAAGTTTACAGCAAGGGTATTCTGCTAAGAGAAGAACAAATTTCACTCCAGCTCTCCTCCCACCAAATTCTTCTATATAATGCTTTCAATTAAAATTAACTACTGGTTGGATAAACAGAGTATTGTTCAGGAATTTTGAGTCCACTTTAAACCCCATATTTCCTATCTGGTGTTCTGATGGCTTTAAAGGATGGTGTACACCTCATCTAGGTCATGTGGCATTTTCCCTGACAGCAGCCACAGCCACAGCCACATCCCCACTGGCAGATGACTCCTGATGACTTCCAAAGAAGACTATAGTAGTTTGTGGGTTCTCTAGAATAAGCATCATCCCCATGTGCTAAACCTATACTTCCTAGAAAAGTATAACATGTCAAACTGAACAATTCAACTGGAGCTGGTAGAGCTTCAGAATCCAGGCAGGGAGGAGAAGCATAAATATGCAGAGGTGATTGCTTCTATCAGGGATAAACATCAGTGTACTGCCTTGCCTGGGTCTTTCATAATTCACATCTCACTGGTGCAAATTGTAGGGAAGTCCAAAGTAACACTATCTATGGAATCTTCTGTAGATTGAATACTGGTGTTCCCCCCCCCCCCAAATTCATATGTTGAAATCCTAACCACTAAGGTGATGGCACTAGGGGGCAGAGCCTTTTGGAATGTGTTAGGTCATGAGAGCTCCATGCTAAACCCATGATTTTGATCAGTATCCTTATGAAAGAGACCCCAGAGATAACTTGATCACAAGGAAAACACAGCTGTCTATGAGGAATGAGGCCCTCATCAGACATGAAATCTGCCAGCACCTTGATCTTGGATTTCCCAGCCTCTATAACTGAGAGAAATAAATTTTGGGTTGTTTTTTTTTTTTTTTTTTTTGAGACAGAGCCTCAAGCTATTCCCCTGGGTAGAGTGCCGTAGCATCACAGCTCATAGCAACCTCCAATTCCTGGGCTCAAGCGAGTCTCCTGCCTCTGCCTCCCAAATAGCTGGGACCACAGGTGCTCACCACAACGCCTGGATGTTTTTTGGTTGCAGCCATCATTGTTGTTTGGCAGGCCTGGGCTGGATTCGAACCTGCCACCTTAGGTGTATATGGCTGGCACCTTAGCCACTTGAGCCACAGGTGCTGAGCCAATTTTTGGATTTTTCATAAGCCATCCAGTCTATGGTGTGTTGAGGTAGCTACCCAATCTAAGACAGAAGATTGGTACTAGATGTAGGATGCTGCTATAACCATACCCCAAAATGTGGAAGCAGCTTTGGAACTGGGTAATGGGTAGAGGCTGTAATAGTTTTGAAATGCATGCTAGGAAAATCCTATATTGCCATGAACAGATTGTTAAAGGTTCTTATGGTGAGGGCTCAGAAGGAGTGGAGAGCTAGAGAGAACACCACAGTCCTCTCAGAGAATGCTTAAGTGGTTATGAGCAGAACATTGCTAGAAATATGGATGCTAAAAGCCATTCTGATGAGGTTTCATACAGAAATGAGGAACATATTATTGGACAATGAATGAAAGACCATCCTTATCATAACGTGGAAACGAACTTGGCTGAATTCTATTCATATCTTAGTGTTTTGTGAAAGTTAAGGCTCGTGACCAACAAAATTGATTTTTGGCTGAGGAAACACGTAACCCAAATGTAGAAGGAGTAACTTGGTTTCTCTTGACTGATTATAGCAAAATGTGAGATGAGAAATGACTTAAAGATGGAATTGTTGATCCAAAATAAAAGCAGAAGTTAAACATTTCCTCAGCCTATCCATATTGTAAAAAATGAGAAGTCTTGATCAGGAGAGAACATGCAGGGTGTGGCCAAATGTCATAAGGAGATTATGCCGCCATCTCAACAGAAGCTACCAGTTTTTTATCCAGACAATGGGAAAATTAGTCAGACCTCTAAACAGATGTCAGGACCTATAGTCCAAGACAATGGAAGAATGACCCCAAAGTCATTTTGAAGTTTTTCTAGGCTGCCTCTCCCATCACAGGTCCAGAGTGATAGGGGCTGGAGAACAGAAAGTATTCAAAGGAGGGGCTGCAGCTGCACTGTGCCACCTCACTTCTCAGACTTTGTTCCTCACACTCCATTGCCATGTGTCTGTGCCCCACCAGGTACAGTTCTGGCAGTCCCCAGTGCTTGTGTGCTACACTCAGTAAAGCTGTTGGGGCAGAGCTATTCCCACCTAAATTCAAAGGATTTCTAGAGAGTCAGGGCCCAGGCTGAGAACCCCCACATGGTTGGGACACCACATACAGTCCTCTCTAGGGCAATGCCCAGTGGAGCCATGGAAGCGGGGCTGCTCCTGTGATCCCAGACCAGCAGAACCACCAGTGTGCAGTTAAAGCCGGAGCTGTGGGTACAGGATGGGCACACAGAGATGCTGCTGGGGTGAGGTGCCCAAGTCCATAGGGGTTTGTATCCGTCCCAGTGTGTCCAGAAGGCAAAACCCCCAACCCATAGGACATGGAGGGCAGAGCAAAGACTATTCTCAAGCCTTAAGGTTTTGGACTTGCAAGGGAACTATCCCTCCATTCTTCTTTTCCATTTATCTGTTGCAATGGAAATGCTTCTCCCATGCCCGTCTCACCATTTTACTTTGGAGGCACATAAAATATTGTATTTGATTTTATAGATTCACAACCAGAAAGCAATTTGACTAAAAGTGAACCACATTTTAAGTCTCAAGTGATTCTATCTGATTTAGGTGATATTTAGATGAGACTTTGTACTTTAGACTTTTAAGTCAATGCTAGAATAAGTAAAGACTTTGGGGGCTATTGATATAGAATAAATGTATTTTTTGTGTGAAAATAACATGCATTTGGGAGGCCAGAAGTGAAATGTATGGTCTAAATATTTGTGTCCCCCAAAATGTATGGATGCCCCCCAAGGTGACAGTATTAAGAGATTTCACTCTTCGGGTGAAAATTAGGTCATGAGGATGAATGCTTCATGAATGGGAGTAACGCCATTATAAAAGAGATCCCATAAAGGTCTTGCCCTTTCTATTATGTGAGAACACAGCAAATAGCTGCCATGTATAAACCAGTACATGGGCCCTCATCAGACACCAAATCATCTGGCACACTAATCCTGGACTTTCCAACCTTCAGAAATGTAAGAAATAAATTTCTGTTATTTATAAGCCCCCAAGTTTGTATTTTGATAGCAGTCTGAATGGACCACAACAGAGCCTGACAGTTGGAGCCTTACTACTGATAAGGAGGTGATAGGTGCAATCAACAGTAGTAGGTCTCCAGGAGTATTGGGATACTTCGTTTTTAAGTTGTGCATGCGCACACACAAAGTGTGTGAAATGATCTGTTATGACAATCACTCACATGGGTATGAGATACCACTTTCAAAATTATTTCAGTTAGCATCCTTACCTCATCTGCAACTTTCCATATTTCTTGATCACTCCACTGTTCATAGGGATCCAAGTTTTTTCTAAATGTTCCAGAAAAGATAAACACTTTCTATAGAAATAAAGCAAAGAAGAAAACATGAATAACCTAAACATCTTTTAATATTTGTCTTTATTGAATGTGAAATATTTTAAGTAGAAAAATATCTTAAAATAATATACCAAACACTCATGTACTTAGAGTTTTCTTAAATTTTAATATTTTATCATGTTTTCTTTGTATCTTTTTTTAAAGAAACAATTCTATAGCAACACTTGAAGCCTCTTGTGAGCATTTTTGTAACCCTAATGTCTTTAGAATAAAGAAATTAAAACCATGGTAAATTGTGGAAAATTAATTTTTTATACCTAATAATATTCCTTTACTATAGGCAAATATAATATAAAATTTAAAAGTTGAAAAAAGTAAGTCTATAGGTGATAATTAAGTTGTTAAAACAAATTCCCGTTTGTTAATATATTTTCCTTGGATTTCTTCATTAAACCTAGCTTTGTAAGGGATTTTAAAATTGCTTTAACTTACACTTTTTCCCCACACATACATTCATCTCCTCTATAAACCAAGGCACACCTATACTTATCAGACCAGAGAGACACAAGAAAGAGCCACAACTTAGAAATCAATGAAAAAGCAGAAATAAAATATTTGTTTAACAGAATACATGTATGTAACAGAAGGGAAGCAGATGAGACTGATGCTGCTGAGGGGAAAAAATGACAGTCTAATTCTCGGTAAGGAGCCGGGCACAGTTACCTGAGATACTTTGTTTGCCACCTCACTGTCTATTTAGATCACCTTTTATTATTATAAAATGTTTTGAAAGAAAACTCTGTTTCTGTGGGAAATGATGATCCAATAATAATAATATATTTCGTTCTCTCTTTTTTAATATAAATGAACTTAAAAATATTTTTGATATTAAAGTTCAGAACAATATTTTATTTGTTTCCCCCCCCTTTGGCCTTTAGTTAATAACAACCACAAGGGGAATGTAAAACTACATTTCTTGAAACCATCATTTTCCCAAATTGCCTTAGACAGAGAGAAGTCTAAAAAGTTAAGTGACTTGCCCAAGCTCACTTAACTAAGTGGGACTGGAATTTGAGTATTTGTCTCTAAACCTGTGCTCCTCACCAGCACGGCAAAATGTCTCAGAAGGGAAATGTAAATATATATACTGTATGTATATGTATACACACACAGAGACATACATACACACACAGACATACACAGGCACACATGTAATTCTATTAAAACATGGTCCATATGCTTATAAGTATTACAGTATTTAAAGGAATTATACTAGCAACTCACTAAAACTTGGGTTGTTCTTTATAATTGCTTGGGAAGTGGTTTGTCTAACCTTTACTCATAATCCCTATCAAGTGTATGTTGTATACCTAGGGTGACCAGATTTTAACATCAGTAAGGCAGGACAACATGGCTGCGGGGGCAGGGTGGGGGCAGGGAGGGGACAGGGCAGGGGATGGGGCAGGGCAGGGCCTGACAACAATGCAAACTTTGATAAGCAGTTCTCGATAATCACTTCTCAGCAATTATTTATTATTACAGTTTAACATTATAAAATTAACAAAAATAATATAAAACTCATATTCTGGCGAAATAGCCACATGGCAGCTGAAAACCATATATTCCCTTCTTGTTCTCCCGCCCGTTCGTGCATTCTTTCCAAAAATCAGGACTTTTTTAAAACGCCACAGGACAAATTGTTGAAAAGTGGGACTGTCCCGCCAAAAGCGGGACGTCTGGTCACCCTATGTATACCATATATTAATTAATTTTAGTTAAAATAGATATATATTAAAAATTATAAAAGAAAGCTGTTTGTTGAAATCAGATATCCAAGTTTTAGGTGTTATGGATTTGATACCATTCAGAAATTCTTTAGATCTTTTGTTTATAATTGATTGTCTAGCATAAGGTAATGAAGTACCTAATTTAAAAAAAAATTCACTGAACAAACTGGTTTGGTTAGAATTCATTTTCATATAATTAATCAGACATTCCACTCCTGTATTACAAATAGTATCTGGCACTGTCTTGCTTCCTAGAGTGTCAGTGGGTGTCTAACTCTGTTTTATAAACTGTTTGAATTTTCTACAAACTCATCTCTAAAGCTGAAAGGTCCTTGGAGGTCACATAAGACCTTTTCCCTGGTTTACAAATGAAACAGCTGAGTCCCTGAGAAGTTAAGTGACTCGGCCATTTTGGTACAGGCAGACTGATTGTGTAGCAAAAAGTATACCGGGAACCATCAATCACAACAATGTTGCCCTATCTCTCTTTTAAGAAACTGTTCACTAATAGGAAATTAGGTGTGTAAATATTTGATCTTTATTGAATGTCATGTATGGCATAAAGAGCAATTCTTGAAACTCTGGGAAGACTAAGAGCACCATTATTCACCCCATGAGTAAGGTCTTTGCTGGGGCTGCCTCCTCAGCTCAACTGAGTGGAAACAGCTGAGCTACATGGAGTTCCTAGAGCTGATCATGGGTTAGTGCAAAAGGCTTTATGCTTTAGCACTGGATATAAAATGAAAAACAAAAAAGGCAATTCGGCTTCTGTGGTGACTGACACAATGTAATTTAGAGAAGTGGGAAGATACAGGGCTGTTGTGTCATGGCTCACAAAGAATATACGTGGATCACTACAAAAGTTTTGAGACAGACTATATCGTGGTTGATTACTTAACATCCAAGAGACGCAGGTGACAGCATCCTTTCTGATTCACCTGTGCAAGTTTCAACTTGCTCAGCTTATTGGTGTTGCTGGGAGGGCTTCGTGTATTTTCTATCCACCTGGATTTTATGCTTCTTGATTTTTGTGTATCTCAGAACTTTCGTAACGACCCATGTATTTATACATACACACATATACATACACGTATAACATTTATAGGTCTATTAAAATGTGGCCCAAATGCTAGTATCACAGTGGTTTTGATATTCCTTTTTGACAATATCTGCAACATTTTCCTATAAATTTAATCTATATAGTAATAACCTATCCAAAGGGAACAAATCAAGACCCTAAATTTGCACTAGAGAATGTTTAAAAATAAATGTTGCTTTGGGGGTTTTATTGCGTGTTTTCAGGGGGGATTTTACAGAGACAGGGTCTTGCTCTGTCACCAGGATAGAGTGCATTGGTGTCAAGACAGCTCACTGAAACCTCAGACTCCTGCACTCAACTGGTCCTCCTGCCTCAGCTTCCCAAATAGTTGGGACTACAGGTGCATGCCACTATGTCTGGCTAATTTTTATTATTTTTATACAGACAAGGCCTCACCATATTGCCCATGCTGGTCTTGATCTTTTGACCTCAATTAATCCTTTTATCTCAGCCTCCCAGGGTGAAGGGATTATAAGTGTAAGCCATCTTACCAGCCTGCTTTGCTTCTAAGAATAACTATAGGTAGAAGAGGTGAATAAAATATCATTCAATCAAAATTATTATAAAATTCAGAATAATTTTATAATATTAATGTACATATCATATATTTTTGTATATAAATGATCACATGTAAGATATACAAAGTGTTTCCATAAAATTATTTAATGCTTCACAAACTCTTTGTGCTACAACTTTTAGTATACACATTTTCAGAGATAGTATTGAAAAATGTTTTCCTGGTTTGACCCAATTATCAGAAATTTTAAAGTTTTAGGCTCAGAAGTAGTAAAACTATGTTATACTTTTATTCCACACCAGTTATTTTTCTCTTCTCCCTTGGATTCAGCACTGTGCTCTCATTGTCCTTATTTTAGTCTTGACTCTTGTCACACCCTGCTGGAGAGTTTCTTAGCCATGTCCCAGCTTCTCCTGCTACTTCCCCACGTCAGCAGCAGGGTCCTCACCACCCTTCCACCAGCCTCTCGCTCACTCAAAAAGAGTCAACCCCTGTCTCACTAGACCATGCAGGTCTTTCCCTCTTTCTTCTAATACTCCCTAATGTGACCTTCTCGGACCCTGGGAACCCCAATATTTTCAGTTTCCACCTTTGTACTTCTACATAATCTTCTGTCTGGGGATCCTGGAATACCCTCTCCATCTTCCCATTCCTCCAAATTTCTAAAATCTGTACGTTTTATAACCCTTTATGGCCAACCTTAATTATCACTCTTGTTGTGAAACGGTCTACACTTATTTGTTCATTCTTGACGTATATGACTCCAATCCAGTACCAAGATGAAGGAGACATGATCTTTGGTCCTTAAATATAAATAGTAATCACTACCACCACCACAAGTATATTATATTTTCTATGTGTCAAGAAGGAGTCTAAATACTTTACTTATATTAATTCATTCAGTCCCCACTTAACCACAGTGAACTAGCTAACTACCATTATCCTCACTTTTCAGACAAGGAGAGTGAATCACAGAGAGATTAAATAACCTGCCTAAAATGATGCAGATTAAAACTCAGATACTGGTGGAACTACAATCCTTGTAGAAGAGGTCAAGCAATTAGTGACTCAGCACAAGACAACGTACACTGCATTCTTATCACGGAAGCTATTGTGTTACGCACTTTATAAGAGATAGAAACATTAGTAAGAAAAATGATCCACGTTTTATTTAGCATGTGACATGGTGACATGTGTAAAAGACTGCAAACCAATCTGAGGCTGTGACTAGGCCTGTTTAGCATTTCCATTCTATTCTTTTTGCCAGGCTGTTTCAATTGTTGATGATATTGTGTTTACATTTTGCCTCCTTAACTAACACTAAGTAGAAATGAAACAAATCCACAGATAATTCTAACACCAGGCATTTCAGAAGTGCTGGGAGAGATTTATAAACAAGACCTTGCAATTTTTTTTTTTAATGGTCTTCCCTCTGCAGCTAGGAAGCAATCTTGGGGACTGCCTCAGCCAGGAAGACAGACACTGTATACATTTTAAGGTAGAGAATCCTTTAATATGTTCTATTTTACCTGTGATCTATGAGGTCCTGAAAAGGAGACAAAGGGGCTTTTAATCAGAACCCCATGGGCTTAGGCAGTCCGAACACCAAGACTTAAAATGGTTTGTCAGCCTTTAATCTTGCTAAACACTTATTTAATATAAAAGAGAAATAACCTTCAAATGCATTTTTAAAGCTTTGGTGACATGTGTAAAAGACTACAAACTATCCTGAGGATGTGACTAGGCCTGTTGTTGCAGTGAGACTTGGGGATCGGAAATAATCAACATCCCCATGGCTCCCACTACAGGGGGGAGTCCTCTCTAGGCTCTGTGATGTATGAGATCGGCCAAATCATGCATCTGTCAGTCTGAACAATGAAGTGCAGGGTGCAGCAGTTCACATTCAGCTTTATAATTAACAACCTCTAGACCTTATGTGGGACTGGAAGCAGAATGTTGGGGTTGGATCAAAAACCTAAATGTTGCTCTAAAAAGTTTAAATTGTGTGGAACATAAACAGGGGACCCAAGGAAGAAGCTGAGGAGGAAGGCGCAGCAGTGGGAGTGGGGAAAGAGGAAGGACAGGCTGATGTGGTGGAGTAGAGACCTCAGGGCCGGGGGGCTGGCCTCTCCCTCACCACTACCCCCAGCGCTCCCCGACTAGCCCACACCTCAAACCACAACTATATTTAACTACCTGTATTAAATGCAGTATTTTGGTTATGTTTTTTCTTCCTTGGGTGTTTGACTTAAGACAATGAATGTAATTTTAAGCTTCTCATTAGAAGCTCACAGGTTGGACTGGGACCTCGTGGTGACAGATCAAGGGCAAGTGCTTGACACATTTCACATAACTACAGAAGCTGTAATACTCATGATTTTAAGCATACAGAAAGAGTTTAACAACTAATGACTAAAGCTGAATGTGAACTGCTGCACCCTGCACTTCATTGTTCAGACTGACAGATGCATGATTTGGCCAATCTCATACATCACAGAGCCAGAGAGGACTCCCCCCTGTAGTGGGAGCCATGGGAATGTTGATTATTTCCGATCCCCAAGTCTCACTGCAACAACAGGCCTAGTCACATCCTCAGGACTCATAGATCACAGGTAAAGTAGAACATATTAAAGGATTCTCTACCTTAAAATGTACACAGTGTCTGTCTTCTTGGCTGAGGCAGTCCCCAAGATTGCTTCTTAGCTGCAGAGGGAAGACCATTAAAAAAAAAAAAATTGCAAGGACTTGCCAAAATTAATGGTGTCTTGTGATTCCATAGCTGATGTCTCAGGATCGCTGTGAGAAAGACGGGGAATTTCTTGTTCAAAGTTCTTGCCTCATGTGTCTCAATACAAGTAGTTAACTGGTCCAGAGACCCCTAAGGCCTCAATGTCAGAGATCATCTGAACTATGCCCTTGCAAGGTTTGGGAGATGGAGGGAGAAAAAAAATGGAAAAGCAAACCAAAAAAAAAATAGCTCTCCTTGGATTTTTCTTCCTTTTGTTTTTAAAGATCAAATTCTAGGAAAGGAAAAAATTGCTTAATTTGAACTTTCAAGAAAGAGTAGAAAAGTAAGTGCATCACCTGGTGTAGACATCAAAAATACAAGAGGAATATGCCCTCTTTCTTTTTCTTGGGCATTCCTATAAGGTTCAAAAATTGACACAGTGGAAGAAATGGTACATCCTGTCTCCAGATGGGTCCTTGTCATATTAAAAGACAGTCCCCGAAACCAAGATCATAAACATACATATGAGAAGCATCTACATCAGTATCATTCAGTATTTCTGAAGGAATCTCTGAGCATATTTCTTATTTTGTTCGTAGAAAGCTCAAAACTATAGAAGAGGGAATATGGGGGAAAGGGTCAAATTTGGAAGATTCACATTGACAAATGGCAAGATAATTTTCATAACTCCGACCTGCTCCGTTTTCGTTTAGGTATTGCAAATGTAGAATCCTAAGTAGAGCATGTGATAGAACAAAAACCTCTCTACCATGTGGAAGATAACTAAAGGATTTCTAGTGAAATTGGAATTCAGTTTTAAAGCTTAGCTCATTCTAAGGGCAGTTTTCTGTGAACAAGAAAAACAGAACCTAAAAGTTTCACTGTTTTTAATTAAAAATGGGACCAAGTGACTAAGGTCAAACTGAATGACAACACTTCTCTGACAAGTTCTCTGATCCTATTTTATGTTTTTCAACATTTTTATTTCTACTAATGCCATCACCTCGGGATACTTGTGTTTCCACTGTTTCTTTATCTGTAGACCACTGGACTATCCCTTTTTTCTTTCTGAAGAAGCAACCCTGTTTTCAAAACTCCAGCCAAGATTAAGTTTCTGGCAGCCTAGCAAAAGTCTACACCAATGAATTAAAAACTAGACTAGTCTGGCACTTAGAATATTTAGTGCCTCATTAGTTGAAAAGAGCAAAAATAACCTACCGAGAAACACAAGCATCTTTCTTGTTCTAGATTTGTAGTCGTCTACCTGGAGATGCTCCTGGCATTTTAATTGTGTGTTAAAATATGTCAGAAAGAACCATGGCAGTGGAATGGTTTCAGTGCCCATTAGTAGAAAGGGAAGAAAGTGATGATTAAAACAGTGACTATATCCAGAGAGATGAGAGCAAGTATCAGCAGAAATATAATGAATGCCTTTCACATTTGGTCCTAGTAAAGACATTTCTTGGATCATTTTAAACTGGAACCACTGCTATTTCTCACATATACAAGAAGTGCTCTTGCACAATCTCACAAATAGAATGATACAATCCAGTGAGGCTAAAGATCCTTTGTGACCCAATCAAAGAGTGACATTAAAAAAAAAAGGCCACAGATTAATCAGACATTGTTCACCCCGTCCAAAGAACAAAAACAATCATTACACTTTCTATTTCCAATTCCACTGCTTCATGCTTCCAAGTGTTTGTTATTTCAGACTCATCTTTTATGGTCTTGCAAAGCATTTCTCAGCCTGCTGTGACTGTTAACTTGGAGCTCAGACCATTGAAGCAGGTCCAAAAAAAAAAAAAAAGCTGGTGAAACAAAACCCCCAGGCATACTGCATAAGGTCTTTTGGGAAATGCTATCAAACTATGAACATTTCAATAACTATAAGTTGAATAAAATCCCAAACTTTTAGAACTTTTTTATGCCTATGAAAAGACTGCATTGAAGAAAGAAGATGGTAATGCTTTGTGACAAATATACTTGGCAAAGTAATGTGAATTTCTTGAGACCAAATGTCAAATACAGATAAAAATGTAATGTAGTTGTTTTTCTCTGGCTAAGTCTTTTTGCTCACCTGCGGTATCACTCCAAAGGCTTTCCTCCACTGTTGCAAAGTTATTGAATCCCAAGACACGCCATCGATCTGGATATCTCCTTCAGTGTTCAGGAGTCTCAAAAAAGCAGATAACAAAGTACTTTTTCCCGCTCCAGTTCTTCCCAGGAGGCCCACCTGTAAGGTGAAAGTGATGAGATTGCTCCTGTGACTTTCAGATACCTTGCCTTAAATATAATTCAGTAGTGGATGTCAATTAAAACCATTGGAATATTTTCTCCCATCATCAGGAGATTTTCACTTATTCATTCAAACCTTTCTGCACACTCCTAATCCTGACCAATGTCAACACACGATGAAGAGCAATGCTGTAATGGGCAGCAGAAACTGGCCATAAGGAGTCGGACCGAGTCAGACCCCGATGCTGGCTTCATTCATCACTGACATTTACTAAAAACTGAGAATGTCCATTTTGCATTAAAGACAAGCAAAGATAAAGTGTCTTTATGCACATCATTGCTGAGAGGAACTCAAACCAGAGGCAGAGACCTGAAGCTTCATCCAGTTCCCAAAGTGGATGTGAGTTAAAAATTAATCTGAAATAAGTCTGATGTTCAGTATAGTGGACAGTAATAATACTACTGTCCCCGATAAGTAAAGGCCTGACAATAACAAGAATATGTTCAGGCAGCACTATCTTCTCAGAGAAGGTAGGTTCAACCAAGGCTTACCACTCCTCAGAGAACTAGCACTTAAGACAATTGTCAAATCAAAGTCTTATATCCACCCTGATTGGCAAGATGGGAATTAGAAAAGCAAAAAGGATAGTAAGGAAAAGAAATACACTATTCTTGGCCATGCGTGCTGGCTCATGCCTATAATCCTAATGCTCTAGGAGGCAGAGGCAGGAGGATTATTTAAGCTCAGTAATTGGAGACCAGCTTGAACAAGATTGAGACCCTGTCTCTACCAAAAACAGAAAAACTAGCTGGGTGTGGTGGTGGGAACCTGTAGTTCCAGCTACTGGGGAAGCTGAGATTGGAGGTTCACTTGAGCCCAGGAGGTTGAGGTTGCAGTAAGTGAGGCCAACCCCACAGCTCTATCCAGGGTGACAGAGTGAGACTTTGTCTAAAAAAAAAAACCTCACAGCTATTCTTACTGCCTAAAGAAGGTAAGAGCATAGCATGGAAGTGAAAACACTATGTAGTATTACCAATGGCCTGCAGAGATTCCCAACTCTTTGTTCATCTCAGAAGCCAGCACTTGAAGGTGCTTTGAGCCAGGTAGAACATTCCTGAGTCATTAACTGCCCATCAAATGAACTCCCTGATATTTGGTGCCGCTAAATAACTGTTCATTCCCCTCCCTTACATCATTCCTATTTGAAAAAATCATTTGACTTTTTTACAGTATAGCTGAGCAACGATCTTTTAAAGTTGAGCTTTTCAACCATCTGCGGTAATGGACAATTTTATTTCTTAATTTCCAATTTACTGCAAATCAGCACTTTAAAAAATACATAATAAAGATGAATTTCTAAATGCTTACTCCTAATTTTTATGCTTACTTTGTAATAGACCAGTAACAGTTTGTAAACCAGAACCAGTGCATGGACCACACTAAGTGCTTTAGAGTATATAAAACCCTTGATAATAATAATTTATTCAAGCCTGCAGTCCCAGCTACATGGGTGGCTGATGTACGAGGATTGTTTAAGCTGTGATGTCAGCGTAGGTAATGTAGCAAGACCCTGTCTCAAATAAAAATCAATAATGATATTATCTGAGTAGCATGACAATTCCATTTCTTCCTTTTCAATACTAAGGCCTTGGATTTATTATTGTCTTATTGCACTGGCAAGGACCTCTGCTACATTATTGAATGGAAATTAGATAATGGGTATGGATATCAGGTTCATGATTCACAGGGAATGCTTGAAATATTTTTACATTCAAAAAATATGTACAAATATGATATAGCAATAAAAAATAAAGTTTTTACATTTAAGATAACAAAAGATAACTTGCAGATCATTTATTAAACTAGGCCTTTGGAATGAGATGGTAAGTAATAATGACACAACTATCTTCCTACCCATCATAAGAGAGCTCTATGATGAGACTCCCACAAGTCTGTTCTCTGAGACAACTGAGGAAATCACATTAACCACATGTTATGCACAACACCCTGTTGACTTTCTTCATGGTAATAATTTATTTATTATTCTTTATTACTGCTAGTATTTACCCTAAGAATATAAGTTCGACAAGAGCAGGGTATTCTGTCTTGTTTTCCATTGAATTCTCAGCACTTGGTATTTTTCTTGGTTTACACGAAGTGCTGAATAAATATTTGAATTGACTGATGTTCAGACGGAAAGATGGAGATCCGGATGAATGATCAGATAATTGAATAAATGTATTTCGCTGATCTAACAAATACATAGATTCAGTCAATTTTGGTCAATTACCAGATCAACTCCTAAAATAAACTCCTCTAAAATCTTGCAAAATTTCATATGCATACTTCCATTTCTGAATCCGCCCTTGTTGCGCAAGCACATTCAGTGTATGACATAATTTTTCAACCACAACAGCAAAGCTTTGTATAACAATCTGAATCTGCCCAGTGCTGTGAGGTACAGGGTAAGAGAAGAAATGCAAGTTCAATAGGTGGATGTGATTGACTTTAGGGTTCATCATATCAAGAATCTTTGGTGAATGGCTTGGTGCCTATAGTTCATTGGCTAGGGTGCTGACCATACCACGGCTGGTGGGTTCGAACCCAGCCCAGGCCTGCCAAACAACAATGGCAACTACAACAAAAAAATAGCTGGGCATCATGGCAGGCATCTGTAGTCTCAGCTACTTGGGAGGCTGAGGCAAGAGAGTCACTTAAGCCCAAGAGTTTGAGGTTGCTGTGAGCTGTGATGCCATGGCACTCTACCGAGGAGGACATAGCAAAATTCTATCTCAAAAAAAAAAAAAAAAAAGAACTTTTAGTGAATAGTAAATTGAGATCTAAATCTCTACATCATTAGTCAGATTTCCTTTTTTTTAAAAAAAAAATTTTAACTTTTTCAGTGCAACTTTTTTTTTTTTTGAGACATGGTCTCATTCTGTCCCCCAGGCTAGAGTGCCCTGGTGTCACAGTTCACAGCAACTTCAAACTCTTAGGCTCAAGCAATACTCCTACCTCACCCTTCTAAGTAGCTGGGACTATAGGCACCCACCAAAACACCTGGCTACTTTTTCTATTTTTAGTAGAGATGGGGGTCTCACTCTTGCTCAGGCTGGTCTCAAACTCCTGAGCTCAAGCAATCCACCTGCCTCTGCTTCTCAGAGTGCTAGAATTACAGACATGAGCTATCGTGCCTGGTCATTAGGATTCTAATGATGATTACATAAATAAATGACCACATTCTTTCTCCTTCAGAAGCAAATGCTGAAATCTTTAGGGAACTCAGTTTTTATGTCAGGATAAGGTTGCATCAAGAAGCGATTTATACATCTTTTGTTGAGTTTTAATGTTTTTAGCTAGTGCTTTGGTCTCCATATATCATTGAACTGCTGGTCATGCATTGTGTCTGACATGATTTTCAACAACTAAGAATCACATTGGTTTTTACCTAACAAAGTCTTCTTGTTTATATAATTGGCACACCATAATTCTTTTCCGGGATTTGTTTTTCCAGGCTAGTCAGAGATCTGTTGAGTAAGGCTAGAGTACTTCCTGCAAACAAGCTTTTAAAGACATGCTCTAATTTTAAGTCAACATTTTCTTGTAGCTACAATGCACCTCCTCCCCGAGAAGTTTGGATCAAGATAAATCAAAATATTATGTGGAGAGTTGAACAGTGTTAAGTTGGGTGCTAGATGTAATTGCACTGTACCATGAATAGAACAGTCTCAGTACATTCCTTTCAGAGTATCTCACTCATCAGTTTAATACTGTAACAAATGAAACCCTCTTTTAATTATTTTTTATTTCCTTGTGGTTTCCAGAAATCAAGATGCCAAGTCAAGTGAAATTTAGATCCACAAGGTGATTATAATTATATGTTTTATATGTTCATATATCTCTGTTAATAAAACAGTCTGGAGAATACACTATTCATAAGCCCAGAATAAATTACTGAATGATTCAACTGCTTAACACCTATTTTTATCAAGTTAGAAAATGGAGTATGTATTTAATAAATCAAACAGGCATTTAAGTGCTTATGCTAATATGATTTGAGCACTTTATATTCTTATAAATTATTTCTGGCATAGTACTTTTAAAGAACTACAAATGGAGAAAGCAGCTAAGTGCACACAAAAGAATAGATTTTGAAGAACTATTAAATGTCTTCTTAATCAGAGGACTGTCCAGTACTATAATACGTACAATACACTCTCTAAAGAATTTTGACAAGTCCAGGTTTACAATGAACAACCTGACTCCAAAGTCATTTCTAACCTTGCAGTTTGAGATGAAAAAAAGAAAAAGATATTTTAGTTGGAGGAATGTGATCTGGCTATTAAAATATAGAAAAAAAGTCAAAAGCTTTTAAGAAAAAACTATTTGAAATTAGCCAGGCACAGTGATATGTGCCTGTAGTCCCAGCCTAGGTTTTTCAGGCTGTAGCTATGATTCTGCCATTTTACTCCAGCCTCAAGAAAAAAAGAAAAAAGAAGAAGAAAAATAATTTTTCTAAAGAAACAGTTGTGAAATAGTTGCTACACTTCTCATACATTGAAAATAAAAACTTTTAAAGTTCTATGAATTAAAGGCCTCAATGAAGAGCAAATAAAGTAATAGGACATATTTTCCCTAAAATAATTGCTATGGACAAAGTGTTTCAATAAGAAGATTGAATAATTTTTCTACATGAAATATTGATATTTTCATCAAGTTGCCATGTAGCCAAGAACATTGAAATCCATTAAAAATCAAATGAGATTCTCATGTTAGCCCTTAATTTTCAACTGCTTTTTTTTCCCCAGGAAGACTACTCCACAGCTGAGCTCATAGGGTTTTTGGATATCTAAAATAGTATATACAATTGAGTCTATTTTTAATTCACTATAGAAGAAGTATCTTTGGAACATCATGTGACATTTTGCAAGATGCTATTGTATGTTCTAACTAAGGACAAGGCAGTAGAAGTAACTTTTATTTTTTTTTTAGAAAAG